GAAGAATGTCTTCCTCGACTCTGAAAAATATTTCCCCGTTGCATGGCTTGACGAATCCTATTTTGCTTCCACTCTACTTTCTTTAAACGTTACTTACTTTCTACGGTACTTTCTTCTACGCTACTTTATTTACACGGTACTTACTTTATACGGTATATATATACTCTTTTTCAACTCAATCTACTTTCCACGCTACTTTCTTTCTACTTTCCTCTATTTTACTGTTCTTCTGCAGGAGCTTTCTCCTCTCCATCTTCTTCTTGGCTTGAGTGATGTGGCGTTGGCCAATGTTTATTAATTTTTCAAAAGAGTGTTCGATGTTTGGCTATTTTGAGTGTCAATATCCTGTTTCATGAGCGGGTGTTTATTGAATTTTTTGCGCTTTTTATCAAACTCTGCTTTCTTAGGATTCATTGGCTCAATTTTGTTGTATTTTTTCAAGAATGACATCATTTTTACTATTTCAGATACGATCTTAAGAATAAATTTTTAGTTTTTGACGTGTATGCTGTTTTTAGCGCATTTTCTCATTTATGGAAAAAAATTCACTATTGTGCTCGCCATGTCCATCTGTCTGTCCGTCCGTCCGTCCGTCCGTCACTTCATGTTTTCGTCGACGAGAAATGCGCTCTCTGTCACTCGCTGCAGTGAAAACTGAGTTATATTTTTTACAAGTTCGACGAATTCGTCAACACCGTCCATTGTTGCAGTAGATTTATAAATAGTATAGATTTTTCATTAAATTAATTTATTGTTATTGAGAATTTCCCTTCATGCACACCCCTGATGAAGTTGTTTTATGGCATGAGCAACGGAATTGTTGCTCACATTGTTGAAACTTAGAGCTAGCGACGTAAACTTGGAGCTAACGATATTAATTTGGAGCTAACGATATTAATTTGGAGTTAACGATATTAATTTGGAGTTAACAATATAAATTTGAAGTTAACGATATTAATTTGTAGATAACGATATAAATTTGGAGCTAACGATAGAAACTCGGAGCTAACCATAATAATTTGAAGATAACGAAATAAATTTTGTCTTAACGATACACATAAAATATGATAAAGACAAATCTCGTATACTGCTTCCCATTGCATAGCTCGTTCCCGATGACCCTTGCCTCTATCCCGTGTATCGGAAGTGAACCGGCAGCTTGAAAATTTTCACTTCCCTGGCCTCGCGCTGAATCTTTGGATCCGATGAGCTCGGTTTAAACATCTTTTTGGTGGAAGAAAAACCTTTGACTACCGCCATTCAAATATCCTTTTATCTACAGTTCACTACAATCCAACTATCCTCATATCTAAAATTAAATAACATCAAACAAGCATCTTATATCTACAGTTAACTACTGTTTAACTATCCTCTAATTCACAATTTTCTAACACCAAACTTTTTTTCCAGATTATTCTACAAAATCCTTCCAGTGAACTAGGAACAATCAAACACGCTCGGTTTGTGATTTGATTTAATAGAATTATAATAGGCAATTGTTCGCGGTAACTATCACATTTATTTCTCCTGAACTAGAACCATCAAGACCATTCCATATATTTTGAATAAATAATTCAAACTTTTGATTCGTTGCAAAATTCCTAGCCAGCTATTTAACCCCTAAAAACTTGTTCATATTTTTAATGCGGCTTTTATTATTATTTTGCATGGGCACGGCGGTAACGGCTGCAAAACAACTACACTCAAATATATCGTTCCCTGATAACAAATAAACAGATTTTATTTTGAAAGACATTTAAATCATAAAAGACATTAAAATTTTATAAGACAGTATGTTAATTATAGGAGAAATGTACCGGGTAAATTTTAATTTTTTTTTTCTTCAATTTCCACGGACATTTTGTTTTTCAAACACTTATTCTCATTAGGTCACAATTATTTTGTCTCTGTACGTTATTTCAATCTAATGATCTTGTTCGTTTCATCTACTTTTTTTTCTCATTATGAAGAAGTTAACTTTTGTTATGATTAAGTTACTGTATTTGTATCGTGTTGCTTTTCATGTCAGCTTTCTTTGTGTACATGGCGACTTACTCTGAAATAGAACCTGCGATGCCTCACATCGTAGGTTCTATTTCAGAGTTTCAGTGCAGGTTCTATTTCAGAGTTTCAGTGCAGGTTCTATTTCAGAGTTTCAGTGCAGGTTCTATTTCAGAGTTTCAGTGTAGGTTCTATTTCAGAGTTTCAGTGCAGGTTCTATTTCAGAGTTTCAGTGCAGGTTCTATTTCAGAGTTTCAGTCTCTCTAGTTATGATAATTGGGATCTCTTCAATTATTCATGGACTTCTCGTTGGAATGGTGGATGTGCCGGCCATTTCAAGATCATTAGGCAGATTGGCTTTCGATGAAGGCAGAGGCTCTCGCATTCTGAAACTTTCTTTACATCTTGTGTTGAATTAAAGAATATTTGAATATATTTGTTGAACAATACTTAAACGTATTTCAGATGGATTTACAAGTGGGATATTTTCATGCAATTGGAATATACTGTGATTTTAAATTCCATGTTGATATTGATTTTTATTGCACGAGGATATTTTGATCGTGTCTGGGCACATGCAAGACAAAAATCATTTCGCAGTTTCATGGCAATAAGCAGTATAGCTTAACACCATGTGACATTAAACGAAAATTATTCCTTTCTATGATATTTAATAAATTTTATTCGGTGAAAATCTCCTTCGCCTTCTTTTTTTGCCAAGGTTTTCCGAGTGACGTCTGTCCCAAATAAAAATATATTAATATTTTAAAAACATTAGTCGGTGGATAGCCGGCCCGTGTATTTCTGAGGATCGGCCGCCGATAACGCGGCTGTGAGATTTAAGAAGGGAAGCTGGTTACTTAACATGCTTCTATTTAATGTAAAATTCTGGACAATATAGACAGTCCTTTCAACTACACCGGGACTTCATCACATTTCAGCCCATAAAGAAGATGCATCAATACATAGATGCGTGCGTCCGAATATTCAGCAAAAAATTCGAAATTGTAAGTCCAAACATCAGTAAATCAAACTGCAGTTGTCATAACGGACACAAAAGCGATCACCGTAATAAGTTTTAAGTTTGCCGCTAATTTGCGCCTTTCGATTAAGTGATTGGCAAAGCCGTAGGGCCAATCATTCATTGCTTCAATTTCCGAGTTAAAATATTATGTGCGTCTTATTGGCGGCCAATCAAAGGCTACCGGGTCTGCATTCATGTGTTAATGACGTTTTTTAAATGAGAATTTTAAGTATGCATTAATTTTCATGTACCTTTCCTCAATGCCCTCATCAGAGGATATCTTTCGCTGATATACTTTCAAATCAGAAATACCGTCCTTCATCTTGCACTTCGAGCTAGCATACAAAAAGAACCCTTTATCCAATGGTTAACTATTTTTTAATACTCCGCTTCATATATTTCTTTCAACTTAGATAAACATCTTAATGAATAGGTCTGATCCCTAGACTGTTAATTAAGACTATTTAATACAATTTTTGCCTAACTATTAACTTTTACTGCCCCTCAGTTAGCTCGGGTCCAGAGAACCTGAGGGCCAAATGCCCTCAGTTTTTACACGGCAGTTACGTCCGTAATTGCGGTGCCCTCGTCATACCTGCGCCCGTAACCGAGGGTGTGGTCGTGGGTAACATTTGCTCTCAAATTTCATATTGTCGTTTCATATCGTAAATTTCTTGCAATATGCTCTTAAATTTCATATTTCGTTTCATATCGTAAATCTCTTGCAATATGCTCTCAAATTTCATATTGTCGTTTCATATCGTAAATCTCTTGCAATATGCTCTTAAATTTCATACTGTCGTTTCATATCGTAAATTTCTTGCAATATGCTCTGAAATTTCATACTGCAGTTTTTTTCAGTGAGGCTGTGGTGTTCAGTGGCAATATTTCAGTTCATTATTTTTTCAATGGAAATTTTGAGACTGATTAATTTCACAGTATAAGTTGAAACTAAATTTCTACTTATATTCAATTTTTTTGGCCTATCAAATGGATTTTTCTTTCAAAACAGTAAATTTAGGGGAACTCTTCCATTCAAGACTTGAAATATTTTTAGTTGTGATTTATTCCATTTCTGGTAGTGGTTTTTCTAATCTTAGTTATTTGTTTATTCAATTCAAGTTAGATTAGTTTTCCCGTACATACGAAGACTAAGAGAGGCCTGAGTCAGAGGCTAATGTGGGGTCACCGAGTACGAAGTCCATTTGAATAAAGGCTGCGACTCGCAAGTTACGGGAAATTGCTTCGGTTTCTGGGCGATGGCGCTTGCAAATGGACTTTCAAGTGGGCTTTTCAAGACAAACTTGGGTCTTTTTAAAAGAGTACTTCTGGCTCGGGTCAGGTTTTTTATATGCACTGCGTAAGTGATTTGCATTTTACCTGCTATCGCATTTTATATTTATAAATATATTTCAGCCAATTAATAATTTCAAAGTGTGTTTATGGTCTTTTGAAAAAGGTTTATGTTTTGGGTGTATAGTGTTCGACTTCCAGGTTTTATTACTTCGTTAGAATTGTGCCTTATTTCGAGTTGTTTCAATATTTATTATCAATTAATAATGTTTTTTCGATTTCAGGAAAAAAAATTTTTCATTAATAAACGTGTTCACGTGAAATTTTGAGAAATTTAATAGATTTTGAACAGATTGAACATATTTGCAGTTGTACTGAAATTTTTATTTTTTTTTCGTGGAACTTAGTGATTTGAAAATCAAATGAAAATACGAAAGTGATATGATACATCGCCCTAATGTAAACATCAGTGAAGTGAGAACAAAATTAAAATGTGTTCTGGTATAATAATATAATTTATTTCTTTTGGATTATAATTGAGATGAATTTTAACGTGATTTATTGCAATAGAAAAGCTTGAGGAACATTAAATTTCTTTCCACATTTATTGTGGGAAACAATTTTGTGTGAATGAGAATTTTCCAGAAAATGGACTAAACGTCGGCCTTGCCTCGTTATTGAATAATAATGGAATAAAATAAAATAAAATGGTGCAACATAACTAGATTTCTTGCTCCATATGCCGCCACGACTTTTCATCCAACGAGAAATTCGCGATTTCTCCGATGCACGAAATTCCCTCTAGACACCCGTCAATTCAGGACGGTGATTCCTGTCTAGAAGTTCTGTCACATTCCTGTCTACCGGAACCAAGACGTCCGATTCCAGGAAATTCCAGGGAGATCATGGGAATTCAAAATTTGCATTCGTGGACAAATTTCTCCAAAAAGGATCGTTGGCAACCGCCGCTACATGTGATGCTCATCTGTTTGCTTCTGTTTGTCATGTGCCAGTCTGTGACAGCCATCAATTTAAGTGAGTACAATTTTATTATATATTTGCTTACTCAATATAATATATTTTTTCTGATAACCTATAATAATATTAATAATGATGAATTTTCTGAAAAAGTCTTCATAGAAGTGATTGCTCGTGCACTCTGATCTTTGTTGGCTTTGGAATAATCCATTTTTCGTTGAATTTTTTTTTATGAAATTGCGGCGCAGCCGCGAGTAGGTCTACTTATTTCGGCATTACTCGCGTGTAAACTAAACCTGTCACAATCTAAATTACAGATATTGTCCCCTTAGGCAACGCGTCTCACATTCCTAAGCCAAACGCTGCACATTCCTAAGCCAAACGCTGCACATTCCTAAGACATACGCTGTACATTGCTAGCCTTACGTTGCACATTCCTAAGTTACACGCTGCACATTCCTAAGTTATACGCTGCAAATTCTTAAGCCAAACGCTGCACATTCCTAAGCCACACGCTGCGCATTCTTAAGTTACACGCCGCACATTCCTAAGCCATACGCTGCACATTCCTAAACCAAACGCTGCACATTCCTAAGCCAAACGCTGCACATTCCTAAGCCACATGCTGCGCATTCCTAAGTTACACGCCGCACATTCCTGAGAGACACGCTGCACATTCCTAAGTTATACGCTGCAAATTCCTAAGTTATACGCTGCACATTCCTAAGCTACACGCTGCACATTCCTAAGCCACACGCTGCACATTCCTAAGCCACACGCTTCACATTCCTAAGACACACGCTGCACATTCCNCTTGAGCAACGCGCTACATATTTATTAGCTCAAGGGTAGCGCTACACGCTATATATTCCTAAGTAACATGTTCCTAAGTAACGCGCAATTTGTTCCAAAACAATGCGATACGTATTCACATTTCACAAGCTTCATATTCTTTAGCAATGCGCTGCATATTCCTAAGCTACACTCAACATATTCCTAAGCAACTCTCAACGTATTCCTAAGCAACACTCAACATATTCCAAAGCAACACTCAACATATTCCTAAGCTACACTAAACATATTCCTAAGCTACACTCAACATATTCCTAAGCTACACTCAACATATTCCTAAGCTACACTCAACATACTTCTAAGCAACACTCAACATATTCACCAGCAACGCTCAACATATTCCTAAGCAACACTCAACATATTCCTAAGCAACACTCAACATATTCCTAAGCTACACTCAACATATTCCTAAGCTACACTCAACATATTCCTAAGCTACCGCTGCATATTCTAGATGGCGTTTATGTTTCTCTCCCGACGCGCCCTCTTATAAATACAAAGGTTCGAGTCTTGCTTGCGCCGCCACAAAGCTTCTTTGTGACGCCAGCAGCTCATTCTGTATCTCTGATGCAGTGCATCTGATGCAGTAACTTTGATACAGTACATATAATACAGTATATTTGATACAGTACATATAATACAGTATATTTGACACAGTACATATAATACAGTATATTTGATACAGTGCATATAATACAGTATATTTGATACAGTACATATAATACAGTCTATTTGATACAGTACTCCCGTTACAGTGATCCAGTCAAATTGCATCAAAATCTAATACTTTGAACATAGTAACTTTAATACTGTGCATTCAATAACGTACCGCTAATACGGTGAGTATAATACAGAACTTTTGAAACACTACTCCTGATATAGTAATTCTGATGCGGTACTCCTGATACAGAACTATTCATACGGTTCTTCAGGTATAGATTCCCTGATCCTGCACCTTTGACACAGCGCTTCTGATAATGCTGGGGAACTACTTCTCTTTGTGACACGCACTGTCATACTAGCTCAGTTCGATTGGAAAAGCACGATGGCTTTTCATGCATATGTCGTGCCGAAATCGCGAAATAGCCGATTCTATGGAATCGGCAGCCAGTTTGACGAATCTGTAGAACCAGCATTTCGTTACTGATTCAGAAAATCGGACGTTAGAGTTAGAGTTGGAACATAAGTTGACAGACAGAGTTAGAAAAGGACAGGTCAAGTTCATTCAAGCTCATTTATATTTAATATTGAAAAAAAACTTGGCTGACAGACCTAACCGTAGATTTATATAGTATAGAAATGCTGATTCTACAGATAGGGCGAAGTGGCTGCCAATACCATAGAATCGGCAATTCCGCGAGTTCGGCACTACACATATATTCCACAGAACGGGTATATACGATTCCGTTGTGCAGTATTGTGGCCCGCACCAGATCGTCTCTATAAGATGAAATGAATAACCACCTGAAATAATGAATGAAGGTGAAATGAATAACCCCGTGAAATAATGAATGAAGGTGAAATGATTAACCCCCTGAAATAATGAATGAAGGTGAAATGAATAACCCCCTGAAATAATGAATGAAGGTGAACTGAATAACCCCCTGAAATAATGAATGAAGGTGAAATGAATAACCCCCTGAAATAATGAAAATCTGAACAGACGAACGTAAAACTCTAAACGTAAAATATTAAAATCGTTGCAGCATAATATTATAATAATCAATTCATATAAATCTATACTCTTCCATAACAATACAGTATTTCTGAAACAGCGTTCCTGATAAACTACTAAACGCTTTAACATTTTATTAAATCAGATAAGTGTGACAAAATCGAAGCAGGTTTCAAGCTCACTTTACATCTGTAAAAAAGTTTCATTTTCCAAAACGCTATTAGCTCATAATCGAGGAAATTAAATAATTCATGGAATTATTCATCATATTCATTAATTCATCAGATTCATCTGGCCGAAATTTCACTCAAATTCACTTTAAACGCATTTAGAAATATTTATGTGTAGACTTATTTCCGGATTCTCCAATACGGAAATAATTACGGAAATATAATTAATAATAATAATTATATTAATCCGTAATTAATAATAATTACGGAAACGTTAAGAGATAAGAAATATGATGTATGGTCTGATGTATGGATGTATGGTATATATACATGGCATAGCAACGTCCGGTGATCGGTCATTTCTAAAATTGATTGTCCTCTGATTGGCAATTAAGTGTGACGGGCAATCGTTTGCAAGTGACACTAAAAACTATTTTCAATGAACACGCTATTCAAATTAACTTCCTATGGGTGCAGCACTTTAATGAGAGAAAAAAATAATGTGAATTGTTAATGAGGTAGTTTTTTTTACTAGAAAAAATACGTTCAAGCACAAAGAAAGTTATATAAAAATAAATCTGTACATTGCACGACTCCGACAACTGCTGCATCACATACCACAAAAATATTACTCACAATAATGTATAAAAACATGAACTTAAATCCAACATTAAATGGACATTTATCTTATCTAATTCGAGATTGCTTCCTTATGCGAGTCCAAATTTGGAAAGCTGTGGCATATCCGTAGTCGTTACTAGCAGCGGCTGCTTGTACAGTGGGTTACTAGCAAAGCATTACTAGCAAAGCAAGTGCAGCAGCCCAGTCACTAGCACTAACAGAAGCACCATCACTAGCACCACCATCACCAGCACCACCATCACCAGCACCACCATCACCAGCATCACCACCACCTTGTTTTACTCTATATACATTAAGGTTTAAGTGCCACAACGAAGCTCTTCCTGAGGGAATCTCGACACGCTGCTTTTGTTCTGACGCTCCTGCTGTTGTTGTTGTTGCTGTTGTTGTTGTTGCTGTTGTTGGTGCTGTTGTTGGTGCTGTTGTTGTTGTTGCTGTTATTGTTGTTGCTGTTATTGTTGTTGCTGTTGTTGGTGCTGTTGTTGTTGTTGCTGTTATTGTTGTTGCTGTTGTTGTTGCTGTTATTGTTGTTGCTCTTGTTGGTGCTGTTGTTGTTACTGTTGTTGTTGTTGCTGTTATTGTTGTTGCTGTTATTGTTGTTGCTGTTGTTGGTGCTGTTGTTGTTGTTGCTGTTATTGTTGTTGCTGTTGTTGTTGCTGTTGTTGGTGCTGTTGTTGTTGCTGTTGATATTGTTGCCGTCGTTGTTGTGATAGTTTTGCTGATGTTGGCCTCCTAATTATTGTTGTTGTTGTTGTTAATACTAGCCAGTTTTTAGCGCATTTTCTCATTTATGGAAAAAATGCACTATTGTGCTCGCCATTTCCGTCCGTCTGACTGTCCGTCCGTGACTTCATGTTTTCGTCGACGAAAAAACGCGCTCTCTGTCACTCACTGCAGTGAGTACTGAGTTATATTTTTTGTTGTTTAGTTATGCTGGCGATTTTTTATGATGATACTGGTATGCTATTTCTATTCTGTATATACTGGTGTATTATTGTTGTTTTTGATGCTGTTACGTTATTATTGTTGTTAATGCTGGGCTCTTATGTTTGTTCTTCATGAAGCTCTGTTATTGTTGTCGCCGATATTGCTGTGTCACGCTCCTGTTATATCTCCATAACATCATCAGGCAGGTCGTGGTTATGTAATTAAACAGACTTACGACCCGTAATTAATCGAAATCAGGGCTTGAACTCTGAACAGAATTTGAACTCTTTAATCTGATCTAATTTGCTGGGAAATAATCTAATTTAGGATTGGAACCATTAATCTAATCTAATTTGCAGGGAAATAATCTAGTTTAGGACTAGAACTCATTATTCTAATTTAATTTGCAGGGAAAAAAATCTAGCTTAATTTAACACATTAATATTTACTAATTTGTGGGAAATAATCCAATTTAGGACTTGAACTCATTAATCTAATCTAATTTGTAGGAAAATAATGTAATTTATGATATGAACTCATGAATGCAATCTAATTTGCATTGAAATAATCCAATATAGGACTTAAACTCATGAATCTAATCTAATTTGCAGGGAATCATCTAATTTAGGACTTGAACTCATTAATTTGATCTAATTTGTAGGAAAATAATGTAATTTACGATATGAACTCATGAATTTAATATAATTTGCAGGGAAATAATCTAGTTTAGTATCTGAATTAATTCCCCGTAAACAATTCCCCGACAGAGCGCTGCGACAGCGCCCTGGGCATGGCGGACAAGTCCATCCCCGACCAGAACTCTTTAATCTGATCTAATTTGCTGGGAAATAATCTAATTTAGGATTGGAACCATTAATCTAATCTAATTTGCAGGGAAATAATGTAATTTATGATATGAACTCAATAATCTAATCTAATTTACAGTGAAATAATCCAATTTGGGACTTAAACTCATGAATTTAATCTAATTTGCAGAGAAATAATCTATTTGTGATATGAACTCATGAATCTAATATAATTTACAGGGAAATAATCCAATTTAGGACTTAAACTCATGAATCTAATCTAATTTGCAGGGAAATAATCTAATTTAGGACTAGAACTCATTAATCTATTTTAATTTACAGGGAAAAAAATCTAGCTTAATCTAACACATTAATATTTACTAATTTGTGGGGAAATAATCAAATTTAAGATATGAACTCATGAATCTAATTTAACTTACAGGGAAATAATCTAGTTTAGTATTCGAATTAATTCCCCATAAACAATTCCCCGACAGAGCGATGCGACAGCGCCCTGGGCATGGCGGACAAGTCCATCCCCGACCACCACATCACCGCGTCCTCCTTCTACGACGCTGCCGTCAACGCCTTCTACGCCAGGTACTACTTCTACGCCAGGTAGTATTACTACGCCGGGTAGTATTACTACGCCAGGTAGTATTACTACGCCAGGTAGTATTACTACGCCAGGTAGTATTACTACGCCGGGTAGTATTACTACGCCAGGTAGTATTACTACGCCAGGTAGTATTACTACGCCAGGTAGTATTACTGCGCCAGGTAGTATTACTACGCCTGATAGTATTGCTACGCCATGTAGTATTACTACGCCAGGTAGTATTACTACGCCAGGTAGTATTACTACTTTGGTTATCACTTCTATGCCAGCGTGTTGCTACCTCATACCTTGAAAATATTAGGTATTATAGTGTTTTAATTATATTATATCTCATACCTTCATATTTTTCGAAAATATAATTAAAAATACCAATCACAAGACGGATAATTTGTTTCTTGTGCCCCTACAGGGCCCACATCGAGGTGGGGGGCGGGGCATGGTGCCCCCGGGCCATGATATACGACGAAGGGCTTGAGTACCTGGAGGTGAACCTGGTGAAGGTACACGTGGTGACCAAGGTGGAGGTGCAGGGTCGGTTTGGTAACGGCCAGGGGCGAGAGTACGCTGAGAAGTACAAGTTACAGTACTACAGGCCTGGTATGGACCACTGGGTTACATACAAGGATGGACGTGGTAACCAGGTGAGATGGTAGAGACGCGTTAGTAATAATAAAATATTCATATATTTCTAAAAAACTATTAAATATTTGTATTAATGTGATTAACTTTTTAAACGACAGTTATATATGAGACAACTCAAATATTTAATTATTTTCATATCTATTTTTAATTAAATTAATTCTAAATAAAAATATCTATATATTCTAAAACAACTATTATAATATTCATATTAAATGTTATTAATTTTTAAAACGACAATTATAGTTGAAATAACTATAATATTTAATTATATTCATATCTATTTTTAATTAAATTAATTTTAATTAAAAATATCTATATATTTCTAGAACAATTATTATTATATTTGTATAAAAAGTTATCATTTTTTAAACGACAACTATATTTAAAACAACTATAATATTTTATTATTTTCATTATTACTATATTATATTCATATTATTATTTCATTATCATATGAAGCAACTATAATATTTTATTATATTTGTTATTATTACATTATTTCATTGTTACTATTTTATTATCATATGAAGCAACNGAGGCAGTAAATATTTCAACTGTAACGTTATGGCCAGCGTAGCAAGAAATTTCAAGCACACACCTCGAAACAAAACAAAATGTTTATTGAAAAAATTGAAATATCGTGGAAAAATTTTAATGTCGCTCTAGGTATAATGCAATAAATTACATTAATAAATTTTGTGTTAAATAGGGTAGAATTTTTGTCGATTTTTTATATATAATAAAAAAAATCACTAACAAAGCATGAGTGAAATAGGGTGGAATAATCTTGATATCGTTCATTAAGTGCGTAATAATTCACTGTGCATTAAAGTCTTAAGTGGAATGTCGAGAAAGTTTGACATTTCGCAGCGAGGGAAGGTTTCCCCTCGCCTGACTCGCGTATTTAGCTCCCCTCACTTGACGGGCGTATTTAATGAGTTCTGATTGCCCTCAAATATTGTGTTCAGCTCATGAATGATTCATGAATCTTATGAAAATTCATGAGTAGTTAGGAGGGGGAATTTAATTAAGCATAACAAGTTCTGAGCGCTGAATTGTTTACCTAATTTGGTGCTGCTGGATTCAAAACAGTAGATGCTCGAGTGAAATTAGAATATTGTTAAATAGAATGCAATACCTGTAATTATATTGATTCTGTTACTGGGGTAATACAGAGAAATTTCTGCCATATGGATGTATATAGCGATATCTCGACCATTGTATAGATATAATTATAGTGGATAATTATTTAATATAATCAAATATAAGTACATGATATAAAAATATAAGGTGAATAATTATATCAATATAATCTGCCAGTGTATAGATATAATTATGTATATACAAAATTTGAAGGAAATGAGTAAAAAATTTATTTCAACTCGTGTGGAAAATTAGATAACTCATTGGTTGTTATACGTAATTCGCGCAACGAGTGAGATAAGTGAACTACTAATACTTTTTTTTGTTTCCTCTCTCTAATGCTGACTTGGCATTTAGCATTTTTTTATTAATGAGATCAGTGTAAAATTACGTCGAACTTCATTTAATGCAAATATTTTATGATTATTTATATCAACACGTCGACTTTTTTTCGCCCCGGCAGACGGGCTGTTGTCGTACAGTATGGAGGACGGCGAGATGCGCGGCAGCGACGACAGCCTGCGCGACCTGACGTACGACGGCGCCCGGCGCGGCGACCGTCTCACCGGGGGACTTGGACAGCTCACCGACGGGGAGACTGGCCACACCAACTTCAGGGTGGACTTGGGGGGACGTGACAAGGGCTGTCTCTTATACACATCTAGATGTGTATAAGAGACAGATGTACCGGTATCAGGGAACATGTACCGGTATCAGGGAACATGTACCGGTATCAGGGAACATGTACCGGTATCAGGGAACATGTACCGGTATCAGGGAACATGTACCGGTATCAGGGAACATGTACCGGTATCAGGGAACATGTACCGGTATCAGGGAACATGTACCGGTATCAGGGAACATGTACCGGTATCAGGGAACATGTACCGGTATCAGGGAACATGTACCGGTATCAGGGAACATGTACCGGTATCAGGGAACATGTACCGGTATCAGGGAACATGTACCGGTATCAGGGAACATGTACCGGTATCAGGGAACATGTACCGGTATCAGGGAACATGTACCGGTATCAGGGAACATGTACCGGTATCAGGGAACATGTACCGGTATCAGGGAACATGTACCGGTATCAGGGAACATGTACCGGTATCAGGGAACATGTACCGGTATCAGGGAACATGTACCGGTATCAGGGAACATGTACCGGTATCAGGGAACATGTACCGGTATCAGGGAACATGTACCGGTATCAGGGAACATGTACCGGTATCAGGGAACATGTACCGGTATCAGGGAACATGTACCGGTATCAGGGAACATGTACCGGTATNGCCGTGAGAAGAGTGAGTGGTCTTAAAGTGGACGTGCTGTGCCGTGAGAAGAGTGAGTGGTCTTAAAGTGGACGTGCTGTGCCGTGAGAAGAGTGAGTGGTCTTAAAGTGGACTTGCTGTGCCGTGAGAAAAGTGAGTGGTCTTAAAGTGGACTTTCTTTGCCGTGAGTAGAGTGAGTGGGTTTCAGGACGGCTTTGTAAGCACGAATATTTTTATAATATTCAATAGTTCTGAAAATTTTCGTCAATGAATATTTCGATATTTTTTTTAATTTCATATGGCGAAGTTTTAAAGTAATCATACTAATTCCAACAATAACCTCAATTTAATCACCTGCCACATAATCGGACTACGAAATACGGAACTATAAAATTTTTCAGGACAAGACCTTGTAAAATATTAGGAACTTTTGCGCTCCAGAAGTCGTTTTGGAAAATGTTAACAAATATCAATTTTCCGCTCTCTGGAAACATTTAATAACTTATGAATACTATATTATACTATTTTATGTTTTACTATACTATACTATACTATACTATACTATACTATACTATACTATACTATACTATACTATACTATACTATACTAAACACTCACCACTCCCACTCAAACGCTTGCAACGAACGCTTGCATGAGGTGCTGCTAATTAGTTCAGGATCCATCATCATTAAGTAGAAGTGGAATGAGTTAATGGACTTTGTTCATTATTTTGTGCCGTCAGATCGCTAATGGGTAAGTTGTTGTATTGCACTCACAGCACACATACTAAGCTAATGTTTTAATTATATACATATGATTCATTCTGCACACTGTATTTTCCGAGATGTATTTTTGTGTGTAAAATTGCACTGGAATATTATCATACATAATATCCTTGAATAGCAGATGGGTAGCACAAGCTTATAATTTTTAATAAGATCCGTTAGCAAGGTTTTTATAATCTAAAAATAAATATATTTTATTTAATTGTTTTCTATGAGAATAGAGTTATCCAGGCGAGTTAATAGCGAGTTACATCGGTTATTCTTGTATACATACAACGAAATAATTACTCGATTTTGGTAGGTTGACGATGAAAACAGATGATGATGGTTGATACGAAAGATTAATATTGATGGTTGTTTTAATATGTTTGAGATGCGTACCAGTGATTTCCTGGGAATGGTGTGTATGATATTTTAACCTTCTTTTGACTACTGTAATCTGAATATCCATCCATAAATAACCTCATATGATCGATTCATTTTTTTCGGCAATCTCCCTCTTAATTTTTGTCTGAACTCAAGAAATAAAAAATAAAGAATAAAAAAGTTTCTGTAACTCTAATGACCGCATTAATTTTTTAAATACTTTTCAGCGTATCCACTGCTCGTATTTTTAACACTGTTCAGAATGAAAAGAATGATTGCCTACTATGTAGTGTAATATCAATCTCTTACAAATATAGAATACCATGAATACAAACGGGAAAATGAATAAGTTACTTCAGATTATTTTTCATGACTGGACCACATATTTTGTTTCAAAATGTGAGTAATAAATGAACGCGTTTATATTTACATAATTGCATTTGGTGTATGATTTCCCTCTTCTGGAATATGTGTTCTGAATGATGGATATGACTTCCCTCATTCGGAACTCTGAGTTCCGAAAGTGGGAACTCTGAGTTCACTGATTCGGAAATGAGATTTCCGACTGAGAATTATGAGTTGTCCCAATCTGGAATAAGACTTCTGAATGACGGGTTTGACTTCCCTCGTCTTAGTATGTGAGTTCCGAATGAAAGTTTTGAGTTTCCTAGAACTGGAGAATAATTTCCGAATGAGGGTTAAGAGTTCTCTAGTTCTGAAATGTTTGTGAATGGGGGTAATGAGTTCCCTCTTTCTGAAATGTGAGCTCCAAACGATGGTTATGAGTTCCCTCGTTTGAGAATGAGAGTTACGGATGAGGGTTTTCAGTGCCCTCATTCGTAAATCTGACTTCCGAACGAATGTTTCAAGTGCCCTCATTATTAAATATGAGTTCCGAATAAAGGTTCTAAGTGCCCTCATTCCTAAATCTGAGTTCTGAACGAGGGTTTTAAGTGTCCTCATTCGTAAATCTGAGTTCGGAATAAAGGTTCTAAGTGCCCTCATTCCTAATTCTGAGTTCGGAATGAGGATTTTAAGTGCCCTCATTCGTAAATCTGAGTTCGGAATGAGGGACATAAGTTTTTTCTCTTGAATGCTCAGGTTACGAGTGGGTTGGCTGGAAGAATGACTCCAGGCCTGACGTCGAATTCATCGAAATTAATTTCGAGTTCGATCAGCTAAGAAACTTCTCAGCAATCCACATCTACACGAGCAACCTCCTCTCGAAACAAGTTCAGGTGGGTGCGGCATTTGCTCAAGTAGAAGTTGCTTTAATCAAGTTTTTCCCGCAAAGGAAAATTATTGTTTGAAATTTAAAAGTAAACGTTGTACATTATTATTCCATTGCATCGGATGTTTCCTGTTTTACTTGACAGTTGATTCAATTGAACGATAAAAATTCCAAGTTGTCTCGGTCTGAAGATTTTTTTCGGCACTATTATGAGGCAGATCGTGTTATTTAGTTTCACTTGTAGACTTGACGGGCAAATGAGATTTTTAGTTTGTATACGGTTTCATTTAAACAAGTGAAAAGAATATTAAATGGCTTTCTCAATTAGGTTATCGTATGTAATACTTAATTTGTATAGTAACTTTTTCCTAACTACTCTAAATTTCGCGGTGATTCATCGTTTTTCCTTCACCTACAATTTGCAATGTTAATTTCAGAATTAAATTCTCGCTTTATACTCGACACTATATTTTACATAAATTTCTTACGGCTACTCTGAAGATATTTATCCTTTATTTTCCGTTTCTTGTGACTTATCATTTTACGTTTTATCGAAGATCGATGTTTAATTCTCTTCTCTTGTGACATGTCCGTTTAGATTTCCTCTTAGGCTGACTTCTAATTCTTTTTTTTTTTGACATATGCAATTAGATTTTTTTGGGGGCCGAATTTTATTAATGTTTTTCTTTGTGCCTTGTCTGTTTCGATTTTCTCTCTGGATGACTTCTAATTTTTTTACATGTGCAATGAAATTTATTTTCGGGTTGAATTTTATTCATGTTTTTCTTGTGATTTATCCGTTTAGATTTTCTCACGCGCGGACGTGTACGTGAGTACGGACAACGAGACGTACGAGCGCGTGGAAGAGTTTGTACCAGAAGCGGACAGGATCTTCGAGAACGCGCGGCCTGTGACCGTCAAACTGAACCGCGTCGTCGCTCAACGCATCAAACTCGAGCTCTACTTCGCGCACAAGTGGATCTTGATCTCTGAGGTCACTTTTGATTCTGGTGAGCTCAAAGCTATTTTACTTCCAGCAAAGTAAATATGCTAATAAGTACTAACAAAACAAAAGAATGGCATTAACATTCTCGTTATCGAAGTGAAACAACCCGGATTTTATTTGTAAATTTTAAATTATCAAATTGTAACGCCCATTTCCCAAGGAAATCATATCTAATGTGTTTGCCTATAGTTTTATAATATAGAATGTGTGATGAAAATATTTATGGGTTAGGAAAGGGTCGTTCAAAAAAATTTAGTGAAACTTATTATTAACATGAAGATTCATTACTCCGGTTTCAGTGCCATGCCGTTGCGAGCTCACGCCTGCTCCAGCTTTTGAAACCATCGCTCCTCAAGACATGGCACCGTCCGACCACCCCAACTTCCAAGAGAAAGCCTCCATCATCGAACAGCCTGAGCCTCCCACCGAGTCCCCCAAGAAGCCAAACTACCAAAACTCGAAGCTTCTGATCGGTTGCATTGCCACCTTGGGAGTCATCTTTGGGACGGTGCCGGTGTTCCTCGTGATTATGTATTACAGGAACAAAGATCTGAAGAAAGGGGCTAAGGCACAACAATGTGGTGACTCTGCTGCTGAGAGGAAGATCGTGCTTGAGGTGAGCGAAGGGCCGATCACCCTCAGTAATGGGTCCATCGTGAGTGACTTTGCACACAACAAGAGCAGGTATTATGGTGACTTGGAAATCTCTGATGAGACCGCAGCAATGTACCAAGAACCGTACAAAGGACCAATGAACGGTCAAGGTTTCTACAGCATTGGGCGTGGCACGATCGCGTACGAAGAGCCTCTCGACATGGGCCCTGACACCGAAGACTCTCTGGATTACGCGGTGCCAGACGTAACCCTTACGTCATCCAGAGGTCGGGATTTGTGCAGATTCTCACCAGTACCACAATATCCTTTCATGAACGCCATCATGAACATCCCTCCACCACCTATTCCTCCACCCCCCGAAGAACCATCACATGCTCCCCCTCCAACGGACGTCCAAGGCGTTATCGGCTCCGCGTACTGCGCTCTGCCAGAATCAAATGTGCACAAAGAAGATCCTGCTGTGGTTGAGCTCTTCTCTCGTCAGATAAAACTGCTGCATGTTATCGGTGAAAGTAATTTCGGATACGCGCAGCTTTGCGAACTCGAACCTAGTAAGTCTGCAAGTCGACAACAGTTGAATTACACCAACGGCATTCACGTAATGAAGAAACTCAAGCCCAAATCATGCGACATCACAAAAGATAAGTTCATGAAAGAGATACAAATTTTGAGTCAGTTGCACGATGATAATATTGCTCGCTTAGCGGGAGTTATAGCTGAGAGTGAAGGCCCTGTGATGGTGATTCAGTTCTCAGAGTACGGTGACCTTTATCAATTTCTGCGGCGTCACGTGACCAGCGATATCGATATCCTGCCACCAGATGTGGACTTAGATGAAGTCAAGCACTTATCCCGTGGGGCTTTATTGCACATGGCCGCTCAAGTGGCAGCTGGCATGAAATATTTAGAATCAAAAAGTATCGTTCATCGCGACCTGGCAGCGAGAAATTGCCTTGTTGACCCCGGTCTTGCAATCAAAATATCCGACGTGGCGCTTTGCAGATCGATATACGCTGACGATTATTGCAGTATAGAGGGACGGTCGCTGCTACCCGTGCGATGGATGGCTCCCGAATCGCTCATTCATTCTTTGTACACAGTTAAAACGGACGTCTGGTCGTTCGGTGTAACCCTTTGGGAAATATTCACAATGTGTCGTCAACGGCCCCTGGAAGAGCTCAACGACAGAGCGGCCGTGGAGCGCATCTGCCAGACGTGTCACGTGGACGGTCAGCCGACACTGTTGCCGCAGCCTAGCGTCTATGGCAGAGAGATGTACCAAATGTTGACCTCATGTTGGGGCGCTGTTGACAGGCTCAGACCGCCTTTCTGGGAGATACATATGTTCCTGAAGCGTAAAAATATGGGCTATTCTGTCGACTATTTCGACTAAATTAAACCGCTTGTGAATATATTAGGCGCTGGCCGCGAGCTGCTCGTTTTACGAGGTTCATTTGAAAGCCAAGTGAGGCTTGCTTGGCTTCATTATCGTGAAAGTAAAAATATTATTTTCTGCGCCTGTTTTGACAAGCAATTTTACAAAATTTAAGTATTCGATTAAGCTTTATGCATGCATTAGAATGCATTTTTTGTTAAATAATTTGTGCTTGCTTTCCAACGTACGTTGAAATTTATTTAATATTTTCTGTTCTGTCCTTTCATTAGGATTTTTATTTAGAATGTTTCTGTGAGCGTGTAATTTTATGGATGCCCTTGAACAATACGGCAAGTGCAAGGTAATTCGATGTGTGCTCTGTGAACATGTAAATAAGTAACTTTTTAACTTCTGATCTCAATAATGTTGGGAAGACAATCAAGTTTTTCGTACCTCGAGTAAATATACTTGGATCAAATATATACGGTATTAGTGGCATCTCTGATTTAATTATATAATTTTTGCTGGTAAATTTTGGTCCTGATCTTCGCTGGCTAATCGAGGAGCTGGATAATCGAGGAAAAGTTAATCTTGATAATCCAAATCTATGCCTCACTGTGACCCGAAGTTTAGATCGAACTTTGGGCGAGAATTGCTCGTATATTGCTGAACTTGCATGAGCTTTTGGCTAGGAAACTGTAGCATAGCTAATAATTTATATTACACTGTGGATACCCTTACATGTGTATAATGTTTTGTGTTGTGAATGTATTCAGTCATGCAGGGTCTTGAATACATTTGTAAATTTTAGACTCAGCGATGCGCAAGGTCGTGATATCAACATTCAGTAAATCACGCATAAAGGCAGGACGTTTCACGGAGTTCTTGAATCTAAATTAGTCCCTGCGGTGCTCATATCATGACAAGATTAAAATTTTCACGCAATCATAACTTGAGAATTTTTAGAAGATTAAATTTCATGAAACTTGAAGACAATTATCCCAATCTCATCATCTCTCTCCTGATTTACCGGATATCAATTATTAGTGTAATGTCATAAAGTTGCCACAACACCAAATTTATATTCAAGAAATTGAACTATCATTGGTCGCATTAATAAAGATAATTACCTAGATGCGCCTTGATGGTCGTGTCTTCTTATTTGATTTGGTATGATATTGACGCTGTGAACTGGCAAGTGCGATTGGTATACTATGTTTGACATCCCATGTTTGGCGTCCGGTGTTTGACTACACATGTTTGGCGGCAGCTGTTTAACATCCCAAGTATGTCATCAGGTATTTAGCATCCCAGATTTGGCGGCGGCTGTTTAGCATCCCATGTTTGGCATCGGGTGTTTGACGTCACATGTTTGGCGTTGGGGTTCAGCATCCCAAGTTTGCCGGCGGCTGTTTAGCATGCCATGTTTGGCGGCGGGAATTCAGCATCCCAAGTTTGGCGGCAGCTGTTTAACATCCCAAGTTTGGCGGCAGCTGTTTAACATCCCAAGTTTGGCATCAGGTATTTAGCATCCCAAGTTTGGCATCGGGTGTTTAGCATCCCAAGTTTGGCATCGGGTGTTTAGCATCCCAAGTTTGGCATCGGGTGTTTAGCATCCCAAGTTTGGCGACGGGTGTTTATATAGCATCCCAAGTTTGGCGGCAGCTGTTTAACATCCCAAGTTTGGCATCAGGTATTTAGCATCCCAAGTTTGGCGACGGGTGTTTAGCATCCCAAATTTGGCGACGGCTGTTTAGCATCCCAAATTTGGCGACGGGTGTTTAGCATCCCAAATTTGGCATCAGGGGTTTATTTTGTTTGCAGTAGCAGCCACCCTGAGGTCACATTGCCTCCGGTAAGTGCAGATAATTAACTTCCAATAATCCCATGTCAGCGATAGCTTACATTTTGCGAGAGTCATTTTTCCTACATTAAAATTAATACAATATTCTTCCTACAATAAAAGTCGTACCTTATCTTGTTCAATGTAAAAAATATATTGCCTTGCACGTCGTTTTTTACGGACCCTTTGGTGCTTCAGTTAGAAACTTGACCAAGGCCTATAATACCGAGCAAAAAAATAGCGCATCCCTGCTTCTAGCGAAATACTCTGATATGCTCAATAATAGGACTAAAACATATAGTAACGCTCCCTAATTGACATAGAAATAGCATGCATGGTGAGCAAGCACGCCACTCATTATTATTCGTGTATCAATTTTGCATCACTTATGTCATTTATTGTGGTATATCAAATATATATTCAGCAATCCCCATTGTGATCTGTACGCGTACGTGAGTTTTTTTCAGATGCATTGTAACCTTGACTAATGTATTGAGGAGATTGTATTTAAAAAGAGACCTTGCAAAAAATTACATTCTATCTGCCAGATAAGACATTCGTTCTACAGTTAGGATATGTAACTGACATCCGGTAACGACGAATTCATATCTTATCCTGTCATGTAGGCGTCAATTAAATGACCGATATACTTGATTTAAATACAGTGAATGAATCTGGCGCTCAGTGAGTAATCTTATCCACGTTCCACTTGACCTAAACAGGCTCATGGTTGTAAAATAAGCTTAAAATAGTTGTCCAAATTGTGCAGTTTTACTATAACCGTAGGCATCGGAAACATTGCGTTTATTTGTAATCCCAAATAGTTTTTTCTCAATAACAAATGTATTAGAAAGTTAAAATTATGTTCAAGAAGGAGCTAGTGCAATACACAATGCTAGGTCGTTTGCTGGCGACAGCTTTGAACAAAGACATGAATCAATTAATGAATAAATTACCTTATGTACTAATAACTTTACATATTTTGGGTCGTTCTCACACATGTTCTGAATCTTGAGGTTCTGAAAGTCCATATTTCGAGTATTTATTTGTCGTCTTTAATAACGAGATGAGTTAGGCGATTTTAATGCCCAGAAAATTTCAAGGAATTTTCAGTTTCAACAGGAATATTGTTGACGGAAACAACCGAATGTCCCTCTTGGGCAGAAGAAAAGTTATTTATGTGTTCATAAACTAATTAATAATATGCAGTTTAAATGAAGTTCACATCATGAGAAATTTTAGCAGCCATTTTCCTGCGATTCTTCATTCCAAAGAATCGACGTTAGCTAATTGGAGTCAAAGATTTACGAACCTGGTTGTCTTGTAAATTTTTTTTATTATATTACCGATGACCCAATGCATGTCCATTGGCCGCATTTTTTTCAGCGAATCAATGATGAGGTTATCATTAAATTATTCTGTTAAAAATGAATTTTCATTTACGAAAAATATTTGTTGATTCCGAAAAGTCTTTCCAAATCAGGTCTTTCCATTGAATGTCTTCATTTTAATGTAATATAAGATGGCCTTTTTTTAATATAATTCTATTTATAATTTTCCACAGCGTGCCATCATGATCGATAAATTTGGACGCTCTAATGAACCTGCAGTGATTCTAAAGCGCAAATTTTCTGATCAATAATTAATTTCCATGTTCATATAAAATGTATTAAATCAAATTCATACGTTCAAAGATTTCATAAACATTTTCCTCCAAAATGGAAAAGGAAAATCAATCCAAGACATATCAATCGGTACTTTAAAATAACCCATATCATGAGTAGATTAAGGCAAATCCGGGGTTATTCTTGAATTAAACTTAAGTTGAATGAAATAATTAAATAAAAGTCATAGTGGTATACAAATTACTTAGTCACGCGTATATTTGTGAAGGATTTTGTATTATTATTTTTTCATGTATATACTCTATTATATCCATCTCAGACGGCATTCTATCAGATTCAGCCTAATTTCGGAAAATTTAATTTTTAAAATTAAATTTTGCGTAAATATATATTCCTGAATTACAACAATGGAAATAATTTGAGTCATAAATAAGACGGACAAAATTAGTAGCAAATCGCATCGTATCTAAAAAGAAGAACTGTATATGTTTTCTGCCTCTGTTCTCTTGTTAGCAGTTGTTCTCCTGTTATGTAAAATTGAAGAAAAATTGTCTGCGGTTGTCATGAAAAAGTTATTTCAATTGTGTAAAAATTAGTTTGTACTCGTTTCGTTAATTGTGTGGTGATAATGAATTTTGATACTATGTTCCGTATACAATAATGATGATGTAGAAGATGATTTTCAATTGTAGATATGATTTGTATTTGGTAAATCATGTATCATTTTTAAGTCTTTCACTCAGTCGTGTATGATAGATCATTATTCTCATCGTCATTTACATCGTCTTTTGCCTCTGCCGGTCCTCGGCAAAATGTTATTCAATTTACAAAATCAAAATAAGTAATCATAATGTAATACAATTAATGACTGTCTTTTGGCTGGCTTGATGACGGAATTAATAGTGTTTACTCAGGAAAATAAGTGTCTCGTATTGCCCAAGTAGTGACCCACTATCTTACTTAGAACAGAAGCAGAGAACGGACGTTTCTCTAATAGGCTCTTTTATGGGGTCTAATTGAGTCAGAAAGACTCGCATTTATTTGGACAACGTCTCACTTATTTTTCCGAGAGTTGAATTTTTGGTAGGCTTATTGCCTTGCTTGATGGCTGGCTTGATGGCTGGCTTGATGGCTGGCTTATTGGCTGGCTTCATGGCTGGCTTATTGGCTGGCTTCATGGCTGGCTTATTGGCTGGCTTCATGGCTGAATTTGTGGCTGGGTCAATGGCTGATCTTATGGCGGGCCGAATGGCTTACTTCACTCTATGGCTGGCTCAACAAATGAAATTATTTATGGCTAATTTAATGAAGTTATGGCATTTTAATGGCTGACTTGATTATTGACGTGAAGCCTGAATTATTGGGTGAATTTATGCTGACGAATTTAATTTATTACTAAAAACTTCTAAATTTTGTAATTATCAAAAAATTACTAAGTTGCTCAATGTTCTGAATTTTTAGGGCAAATTATTAAATTGAGCATCAGCGATGATAAATCTGTCATATAAAACTTATTTCAATAGTTAGTATTAATCAATTCAAGTCATATTAATTTGTACATTTATGTGTGCTTTGTTAACCGTAACGCAAAATATTACCGCATTTCTAGTATTTTTTTACCGCAATATTGTTTTATTTTATCACTTATTGAATATTTGCTAAGTTTGTGATGTTTTAGCAGGCATGGCGACGGAGTAAATGTCTTTCATGTTTGTTCTGTATTCCAGTAAGCGCCTTCCCAACGACAGCTTCGTTGTAGTAAATTTGCTGG